CATGCAATATTTTATGGGACGCAAGCTATGCGAACTCTTGCCTGTGTAGAAAATTTCCTGAAGTAATGCGTTTACGGTAATTACCGTAACATTTTTAGGTGTAGTGCTTTATGGAGGACTTGTTAGGCGTTGGAGGCTGGCACAGAGCGTCGCCGAGACTCTGCTGCGTTACGCCAGGTCCTGGCGTCTTCTCGTGGACATCCTCTTCTACAGACCACCAGAGCAGATCCTCGTTCCCACCAATGTCCGGTAGACCATCAAGATTCTCAATCTCATTACTGTAACACTGCAAATATCAAAATTTTAATAATTCAGTGCTATTAAAGTGCAGGAATGCATTTATAAGCATTTTAGTGAAATGTACCAATGCTTCGTCTTAGTTGCCATTTGCAGGAAATAAGTTTAGCAAATTCTATTGAGTGTGCATCAAAATTACCTTAAAGGCATCAGTTCTTCTACATTTTATGAAGATTACTTTGCAATGTAACCAGTCTTTAGGGCAATTTTTAGGCTTCTTCCTGTCAGTCTCAAGTTAGGAGCGTCCGAAACCCCATGGGAAGCTGTAATACGGCTTTCAGAGAAGGTGTGGGAGGCAGCTTCATCGAAATATTCAGCGACGGCTGTTTACCTGCAATACGCCAACGAGGACGCGTCTTGTAAGTTTGAAGACCACAAACTAGTCACATGGTGGAACGACAACTTGAAAGAACGGCAGTAATATTAAATGACAGTGCTTGTTGTTCATGTGAAATTGTTAGCGGCCCCTTATTGCAAGGCAAAAAGGAAAGTCCAGTGCCTATAAAATGCAATCCTTACAGTGGCTTCAGAATGGTCTTTGTTGGGAATGAAATATTTGCTACTTAGATCCATCTGGAGTGTTTATCTATGCTCATTCTGGTGCTTTCCATTTTGAAAATGCTATCCTGTTCACGTTTGCTCAGGTCAAGGCAAGCGACGATGTCGCAAAGCATGTTGCGTTCCTGCGTTGGGCTGCTTTATCCTGTGGATTCTGTCTCTCCTTACGTGGTCAACTGTCCTCCGAGTGTACATGAACTCTGGAGAGAGTGCAGACCAGTACAGGCATGGTTCGAAGATTGCTTTCATCGTCTCGGGTGCAGTGGCACTTCTCAGTCTTCTCACCCTGTTGGCGGCTTCACTAAAGTCTGTCCGACGTCTCACCAGGATTCACCAACGCTTCCGTTCGCTTATAAAGCAAAGAAATCAACTCCTACGTTGCACTCCGGACTCTAAGGGTAACACAAATCCAGCTATGCAGCCTCTAACTTGCCTTAATCTTGATTCGTTTTGCTTTTATGAGCAACCTAAAATTTGGAAAAGAAAACAAACTGTTTCAAATTAGGCTTGCACAGACCCAACATAAATAGTTGGTCTTGATCCATTCAAAAGAATAAAGTACAAAATAAGGGGTGTTGAGGAGCCTAAATTATTATGCCTCACATTAATTCATCCCAGAGGCTAAAATCGTTTCCTGTCATCAGAATACTGCAGCCGCCTTTACTAATTCAGCATCACTGAAACTGACTCAAACTGGGCACAGCCGAGCTCGCCTCTACTTTGAATAATACACAAAGTTCCACAAGAAGAACTACCACGATCAGACATTAAAGGAAAGATTAAGTGATGGGAAAAGTCACAGGACTTCATTTCATAAATGCCCGCGCCGGTGTCGAACCAACCGGGCGCATCACCTCGTTCCACATCCGCCACTTCCTCACCAAAAAGTTAATCACCTGATGCGCATGTCTTGCCTGAAGGTCCTGGGCAATGCGCCACTGCCTACTCATCCTTGCTTCATTTGGCAATATTTAACGAGCGGTCTATTGCACGTCGATTTGTAGGAAACAGA